CTATTTGCAGGACTAGGAAATTAACTAGAAAGATGTGGAATGGTATATATAAATTTGCTGTTTCTTATTTATTCCAATTTGTCTTTCTAACAACTTATGACTCAAATCTCTCTTGAGTACTGACCCCATGTCTGACTGGTTCTTGGGGCTATTCCCCTGAATCCCTCAGGAATTTAGATAAATTATATAAGAACTTCTGAAGCTAGGACTTCTTCTTATATTAGGACTCATTGTCCTACAGTTTGCTATTCACTGAAGTGCTGTACTAAAATTGTGGATGACAGTACTAACATCTTCGTCATCCAAGCCGACGAACCCCAACGAGGCACCTGCGAATACATGCAGACAGCTGCAAAGCAGTTTCATTCCATTTACTCTGGGGCCAAACCGTATCCCAAGTACAAGCCCTGTTGGTAGGAAGAAGTTAGAGTAGTCTTCAGCCTTTTCCCAACTGCCTGTCTGACACCTTAAGAATAATGTGCAGTAAAACCCCAAAAAGAGAATTGAAATCACCTTTGTAAAAACTGCAACACTGACAAAATTGTGACAGTAAGAGAGATATGACCTAAGTGACTTCGTCTTGCCTTTAACCTCCAAGTTGTCCTTGTTCAATCCTGGGCAAAAGTCGAACTAACTTTGGGAGGAATTTATTTTTATAGCTTAACTTTGAAACAAATATAATAACAGCTCTTTCCGGAAACAAAACCGCTCATTGCTTGGGGACCATATTGTCTTTGTAAAACTAACAAATTAACCACGGGGTTATAAAGTGTGGCTCAGGAGTCACACATCCCGAGGCCACAATATTACTAACGTCCCCAATTGCTCCCGTATAGAGCGTTACTATTGTAAAACCTAGATTTGTGTTTGACGTATTTTTCCGACCTTGCACTCTGATGGATCAGCAGGTGCCACCCAAACCAGTAAATGGCTCATGTGGACATGTGGCCCCCATCCAGGAACTGAGTCAGAGCAAGAAGATGACTCTGACTTCCTAAGATTTTATCCCTGACACCCACCAATCACCATTCCCCTTTCCCTAGCCCCTTGCATGCCAAACTATCTATAAAAACCCCAGTTATCTTAATATTTGGGGAGGCTGTTTTGAGTAATAAGAAAACTCCAGTCTCTCCTTTAGCCAGCTCTACATGTATTAAACTTTGTCTGTACAGCAATTCCCCTGTCTTGGTCAAGTGGCTCTATCTGGGCAGCAGCCAAGATGAATCCATTGGGCCTTAACAATCTAAATCACTGAATTTTGTATGAAGATAACTTGTTTTGATTTCTTAGGCTGACAGATGAGACTTTGGATTTTGGAACTTTCTGTTGGTGCTGGAACAACTTAAGCCTTTGAACTACAGAAACGGAATACATTTTTTATAAGTGACAGGGCATGATTTTCAGAAAGCCAGAAGTGGAGGGCTCTCCTCACAAACTCATGTTTAAATTTCATTCCGAATGTGGCAGTATTGAGATGTGAGGCCCTTAAAAGATGACTGGATCATGAAGAGTTTGTCCCTGTGATTAAGTTAATCCATTCATGGATTAATACATTAATGAGTTTTAAATTAATGGGTTATTATGAGAGAAGAACCGATAGCTTGTAAGAGGGGAGACCTGATCTTCCATGGCAGCAAGCTCTACTCCATTGCCATATGATACCCTGCATGGCTTCAGGACTCTCTGGAGAGTCCCAAGAAGCAACAGGACCTCACCACATGTGGCCCCTAAACCTTGGACTTTTCAGCCTCCGTAACTGTAAGAAATGTATGTGTCTTCTTTATCAACTACTCAGTTCCAGGTATTCTGTTGTAAGTAACAGAAAATGGACTAAAACCAAGTCTCTTAGTATTACTATACCCTGTTATTAAGTTCAATGGAAAACTACAATCATTCCCGGCAACAGTACAAATGGTCCAGATCTTTCAGGAATGAAGGTTTGCATCACCCTGCCAGGTAAAGACCTCGGACCAGCTGAGGAGCCTGCTGAACACAAAGAGAATACAGAGTGGGGAGCAGTGGAAGGAAGTTATAAATATCAGTTAGGACCACGTGAACAGTTACAGAAACAAGCATTAAAACTGTCACTAGTATGTCCTATCTACTTTGTTAAGAATACTTTTGCATGTTTATATACATATATTAGGCAAGTAACTTTGTTGTCATCCTTCTCTTCTTTTAACACATAACCCAATAATGCATTGATCTGATACTAGCAGTTAAGTATTAGTAATTCAACATATTTATATTGAAATTATGGGATATCAAAAGAATAGTAAACATCACCCACAAACCTTTACTACTCTAAAAAAAGATTATTATGTTTTGGTTGTATACAGAATAATTGCATCATGTTGCTTTATTACCGTCTGTATTTGCAGATTAGTATGGCTTAAGATGATACACATGGGTGCTAGGTAGAAAGGTGATGGGATTTTCATGGTTATTTAATGTGGATTAAAGAATACCTAGAGAACTGGTAAAGCATTACTTCTGGAAGTGTCTGCCAGGGTATTTCCAGAGGAGACTGTTGTGTGAGTGAAGGAATTTGGTGAGGAAAATACACCCACAATGGAAGCAGGCACCATACAATCTCCTTGAGGACCTAATACAACCAAAAGTAAAGGTAGAAAAACAGTTCTCTCCCCCAACCCCCGCCCACCCACTTCGGCAGGCACACTTCTTTTCCTGTCCTTGATAGAACTCTGAATTCTCTGACCTGGAAACTCCAGGACTTTTAAGAGGGAAACCTGTGGATTCTCAGGCCTTTGGTCCTAAACTGAGAATTACAGTAAGGGTTCTCCAGGTTCTGAAGATCTCAGGCTTACAGTCAGGCTGTAACATCCTAGGGTCTTAAACTTACAGAAGGCTGTCCTGGGAATTCTCAGCCTCTATATATAATCACATGAGCAAATCCCCAAACAAAAATGCCTCTATTCTAACTATTATCTTGCTATCAACTATCTACCTATTTATGTATTGATCTATCGAAGTATCTAACCTACCTACCTACCTACCTACCTACCATCTATTTGTTCTGTCTCTCTAGAAAAAATCTGACAGATACACCCATAAAGGCTTCAGCCTAATGGCCCATTACCCTGTATTCTGTAGTTGCTCCCCCACCACCCATGCTGTTTCTAAGTGTGTGTCCCGGAGAGCTCTTCCCTTCCTATTGGTGATGCAAGGAATGCTGCCCTCCTCTCTTTGACTGGTTAGTAATAATACATTACTAGGGCCATTATCCACCTTTTGTTGAGTTGCCTCCTCTGTGTTTCGCTTTACAAACACATGGGGACCTCACTCTTTTTCCCACACAGCACTCTCCTAGAGAGTGACTATCTTGTTAGAAATAAGACACGGGTCAGACAAGAGCTACAAGGATGTCTTCCAGTAAAAACAAGTACACTCTGTGAGAGAAATACCTCAATTCAAGTTGGATAATTAGGCTGTCGGCCATCAACCAGGTTGAATAAACATCCCATGAAAAGTACACTCAGTACCAAACCCCGAGTTCTATTGGGCAAGGCTATAGGTTATAGCCACTACCCAGACAGACCTCAACAGCAAGCAGAAATCAAAATGAAACACATGCCAGGAGATAATTTTACAAACTGTAATTCCAGAAATCCCTTGAGAGGAAAATAAAAATGGCAAAGCATTACTTGAAAGCCTGTGCTGGAGTGGCAGCTCTCTAAAGAAATAGAAAAATCTGTACTAGAGAATTGCAGCCCTAACTATAAGCAATGATCTCTGTAACTTGCACTCTAAATCCAAGTATTCATTTATTTATTATTTATTTATTTATTTTAGAAACTGGGTCTCGCTATGCTGCCCAGGCTGCAGTGCAATGGCTACTCACAGGCACAAGCACGGCACACTACAGCTTCAAATTCCTCATGTCAAGTGATCACCCAGCCCAACCTCCCAAGCAGCTGCAACTACATGCCCACAGCACCACACCCACCCAGTTACATTTTTTAAATCAAGAAAGTTGCATTTTTATCCTTTTCTTCTTTCCCATGGTCATTTTAATCACACGGATGATGATCATGCAAATAATTTTAAGATTAGTTACTGTACATGTAGATGCACTCTGGTTTCCATACAATCTTCTATGTTGTCTACTTGTTACATAGCTCAACTGTACTTTTGGATACTTTGGGAAAAAAATGGACTTTCATCTTCCCTGAAGAATAGAGTGAATAGGCCGGGCATGGTGTCTCACGCCTGTAGTCCCAACACATTGGGAGGCCGAGGTGGGCAGGTCACAAGGTCAGGAGTTCGAGGCCAGCCTGGCCAACATGGTGAAAACCCGTCTCAACTAAAAATAAAAACACAAAAAATTAGCCGAGCATGGTGGCCCACGCCTGTAGTCCCAACTCCCCGGGAGGCTGAGGCAGGAGAATCACTCAAACCCAGGAGGCGGAGGTTGCAGTGAGTAGAGATCCCGCCACTGTGCTCCGTCCTGTGAGACAGCGTAGACAGGATAGACAGGGTGAGACTCCGTCTCCCAAAAAAACAAAAAACAACGGAGTGAATAAAATAGAAACTCATATCACTCATATCATTTATGTTTTATAAGGTTACTGCATTTGTACCATGTGTTTTAGGTTCCACAAAGGCTGAATTAAGTTAACAGCAAGTCCTGATCTCAAATATATGAGGCATGTCTACACTTCTATTTATTTTAAAAGTTTAGATTTACAGAAAATTGCTAAGATCTTACATAAAGTTTCATATACCCTTCAACTTTCTGTAATATTATCATCATACATAAACATAGAGTATCTGTGAAAACTCAAAAACTGATAAAGGTACATAGAACTTTTAACTAAAGTACTGACTGTCTTCATATTTTACCTGGTTTTCACCTAATGCCATTTTTCTGTATTTTGATCTAATTCAGGATAACATTACATTCACCATGAAGTGTATTATTGTGTACTGCAGCATAGCCAATTACCATGTAGCTTAGTGGCTCAAAAGCACGCACACACTACTCACAGTTTCTCTGAGTCAGAAATCCAGATGTAGGTGATGGCCAAGGCTGAGGTTTCAACTGAAAGATGAGATGGGGACGGATCATCTTCCAAGTTCATATGATTGCCCAGGTTAAGAAGACTTCACTGGTGAATTACTCCAAACCTTTAAAATAGCAATAGCAATTTTTCACTAACTGTTCTCAAAAAAAAAAAAAAAAAAAAAAAAAACCATAGAGAAGAAATCAGTAAGCAATGCATTTTATGAGACAGTTTTCTCTGATACCACAACTAGACAAAGTCCAAAAAAGGAAAAATATAAATCAATACACTTTATGGATACCCAGGCAATAATCCTCAAGGAAATAATTTCAACACAAATCAGGATTATGAAACGGGCTATACATTACACAACGAGTATTTATTTACTCAAGATTGCAAATTTAGTAAAAGATACAAAAAGAATTATTGTAATACATTGTATCAATACAACACAAGACAAAAGCCTCATTATCACCCCTAAGGATGCCGAATAAGCACTTGACAAATCCAAAATCCACTCACAGTAAAAACACTGAACAAATTTTGCATAGAATGAAATGTTCTTTACATAAAAATGGCATCCATGAAAAAAAACTCATATAACACATGGTATCAAGAAAGTCTCAGTAATTTCCCCAAAATTATAAACACAAAAAGGTTATCTACTCCCACTAACTAAACATTATGCTTGAAGACTTAATTGATAAAACTAGCCTAGACAAATAAATTTAAGACTTCCAGATTGAGAAGGAAGAAATCAAAGTATCTCTATTTGCCAGTAACATAATCTAATGTATAGAAAATCCTAACGAATCCACTAAAATAAGATAGGAACCATTAAAAAAAAGTTCAGTAATCCTGTAGAATACAAGATTCATGTAAAAAAATTGCACTCTTATACAATTGATATGGTTTGACCAATCAATTAGGTGTCCCCACCTAAATCTCACCTGGAACTGGAATCCCCTCATATTGGGGGAGGAGCTTAGTGGGAGGTGACTGGATCATGTGGATTGTTTCCCCCATGCTGTTCTCAGGATAGTGAGTGAGTTCTCAAAGAAGCTGATGATGTTCAAAGTGTTTGGCAGTTTCCTCTTCACTCTCTCCTGACCTTGTGAAGAAGGTGTCTGCTTCCCCTTCCCCTTCCGCCGTGACTGTAAGTTTCCTAAGACCTCCCTAGCCATGTGGAACTGTGAGTCAATCAAAACCTTTTTTCTTTATAAATTACCCAGTCTCGGCCGGGAGCGGTGGCTCACGTCTGTAATCCCAGCACTCTGGGAGGCCGGGAGGCCGAGGTGGGTGGATCACAAGGTCAAGAGATCGAGACCATCCTGGCTAACACGGTGAAACCCTGTCTCTGCTAAAAATACAAAAAATTAGCCAGGTGCAGTGACGGGCGCCTGTGGTCCCAGCTACTCGGGAGGCTGAGGCAGGAGAATGGCGTGAACCTGGGAAGCGGAGCTTGCAGTGAGCCGAGATCGCGCCACTGCACTCCAGCCTGGCAGACAGTGAGACTCCGTCTCAAAAATAAATAAATAAATAAATAAATATTTAAATAAATAACCCAGTCTCATAATAGTATCTTTACAGCAGTGGGGAAACAAACTAATACAAAAATACAAACTAATCAAATAAAGAAACAAACAAAAAAAATCATTTAACATGCCAGCAAAAAGAAAATATATTTGGCAACAAATTTAACATAAGTGTGAGGCGGGCAGATCATGAGATCAGGAGTTCAACACCAGTCTGGCCAAAATAGTGAAACCCCGTTTCTACTAAAAAATACAAAAAATTAGCCAGGCGTGGTGGTCGGCACCTGTAATCCCAGCTACTCAGGAGGCTGAGGCAGGAGAATCCGGGAGGTGGAAGTTGCAGTGAGCTGAGATCACACCATTGCACTCTAGCCTGGGCAACAGTGCAAGACTCTTGTCTCAAAAAAAAAAAAAAAAAAAAAAAAGGTCGGGCGGTGGCTCAACCCTGTAATCCCAGCACTTTGGGAGGCCGAGACGGGCGGATCATGAGGTCAGGAGATCAAGACCATCCTGGCTAACACGGTGAAATCCCGTCTCTACTAAAAAATATAAAAAACTAGCCAGGTGAGGTGGCGGGCGCTTGTAGTCCCAGCTAATGTAGTCCCGGCTACTCAGGAGGCTGAGGCAGGAGAATGGTGTAAACCCAGGAGGCAGAGCTTGCAGTGAGCTGAGATCTGGCCACTGCACTCCAGCCTGGGCAACAGAGCGAGACTCCGTCTCAAAAAAAAAAAAAAAACAAAAAAACTACAAGACATTTTATATATACATATACACATACACACATACACACACACACACATATACACTGAAAATTACAAATGATATTGAAGTATTAAAGAAATCCTGAATAAATGAAAAAAAAAAAACTAGATTTTCACTGATGAGAACGCTATTAGGTACTTACCAAGATGCTTATACTTTCCAAATCTATCTGCAGATTCAATACAATCCCTAACAAAAATTCTTGCTTTCATGTTTTTCATTTTTTTGTGATAACTGGACTGAAGATTCTAAAATATACAGGAAAATGCATTTCATCCAGAACACCCAAAAGAATGTATAAAAACGTTTAAAGAAATACCAATGTAGGCCGGGCGAGGTGGCTCAAGCCTGTAATCCCAGCACTTTGGGAGGCCGAGACGGGCGGATCACGAGGTCAGGAGATCGAGACCATCCTGGCTAACACAGTGAAACCCCGTCTCTACTAAAAATACAAAAACTTAGCCGGGCGAGGTGGCAGGCGCCTGTAGTCCCAGCTACTCGGGAGGCTGAGGCAGGAGAATGGCGTGAACCCGGGAGGCGGAGCTTGCAGTGAGCTGAGATCCGGCCACTGCACTCCAGCCTGGGTGACAGAGCGAGACTCCGTCTCAAAAAAAAAAAAAAAAAAAAAAAAAAAAAGAAATACCAATGTTATTTATGGAACTTCTGCTCATAAGGAGACGGAGCCTAATTCCCTACTTCCTACATATGAGCTGTTCATAGTGACTTTTTTCCAAAAATACATCATGAAAATGGGAACAAATACTAATTTTGTAGTGGAAAAACCTGAGCTAAACTGCCTCATGCAGGTGATTAAATAATATTAACCATGATAATGCAGCTGGGCATGGTGGCCCAAACCTGTAATTCCAGCACTTTGAGAGGCCAAAGTGAGAGGATTACTAGAGGCCAGGACCTCAACAAAAGGCTGGGCGACATAGGGAGACTACGCCTATACAAAAGTAAAAATAAAAATAAATTAGCCTGGCACAGTGGCACATGCCTGTAGCCCCAGACACTCAACAGGATGAGGTGGAAGAATCACTTGAGCCCAGGAGCTCAAGGCTGCATTGAACTAGGATCATGCCACTGCACCCCAGCTGGGGCAACCGACAGAATGAGACCCTGTCTCACAAAAAAATAAAGCAAGGGGGCGGGTGTGGTGGCTCACACCTGTAATCCCAGCACTTTGGGAGGCCAAGGCGGATGGATCACATGATCAGGAGATCAAGACCATGCTGACTAACATGGTGAAACTCCATCTCTATTAAAAATACCAAAAATTAGCCAGGCGTGGTGGCGAGCACCTGTAGTCCCAGCTACTCGGGAGGCTGAAGCAGGAGAATGGCATGAACCAGGAAGGTGGAGCTTGCAGTGAGCTGAGCTGAGATCACGCTGCCGCACTCCAGCCTGGGCAACAGAGCGAGACTGTCTTAAAAAAAAAAAAAAAAAAAGGCATGTTGCTAGTATATACTGAGTCATCACTCAGCCTGCGCCCATCTCTAAGATCACGGCATGGAGGGTTGGGGGTATATCCTATGCTGCTTGTTCTTTTGTTTTTGTTCCTACTGAGCTTCCTTGACTTACACACAATGCATGTGTATCACTCGCTAACATTCACCTGAGAAAACCCTGATGTGTAAAAATTTATATCCAGGTTTCTGTAAGTAGGGACTGGCCTAAATCACCTCATTAGAAATATTTTTTGTACTCTGCTTACCTGCTAGCGTGGAAGCTTTAGGAATGCCAACTGGCATTATAATTCCCGGATGTGAGTGTCCACAGAACGCATGATGGGAGTCTGTAGAGTTAAAAAGAAAAAAAACAAATATTAGTACAGGTTTTCTGAAACGTTTAAAGGTACAGTTGTCTTTTGGTTACTTGTAGAAGAAATCCCTGTACCAAGAAAACATTATCCTGAATGCAGAAATATGATTTATGTTCCCTGTCACTGAAATTACTTATTCTTGGCTTCTAGTATCTGAAAGTTGTATCTCCCAAAAAGGCTGCAGTGGGAGACTGCATATACACTGCTAAATGACGCCCACAGATGGGGCTTTCTGGGATATGTGAAGGAAAGGCAACTTTCTTTGAAAAAGGGGTTGCTGACATTCAAACTGGTGACTGCATAATGGGAACAGAGAAAGAGGATGACAGTCCCTGGAGCTTGATGGTGCCTTCCTGAAGCAGGTGCACCTGGGTTGAGAAAGGTGACTAGATACGAAAACCTAGTTTGCTATTCTCTCCCTACTGTCTCTGGAGGCCAAATTTTTGGCTTATGTCTTTGTTTTCTTTCCATAAAACAAATTAATAATTTTAAAAAACATTTACTTTGAAGTAACTGCACATTAACAAAAAACACACTGGTAGTACAGAGAGGTGTATATAACCTTCAGCTAACTACAATGTTATTATCTACTATAACCATAATACAGTTTTAATGAAAACTAAGAATTTACCTGTTTTTCAAAACTATTAGCTGATCTACGAACTTTCTTCCTATTTTACCATGATTTCTAATAATGATACACGTATCTATTCCAGGACCTAATCCAGAATGCCACCTTAAAATTACTGTCAGTTATATTACTTACTACTTTGTGTGTAACAAATTATTACATACCTAAGTGGCTCAAAAACCACACACATATTACTTACAGTTTCTCTGGGTCTTCAGTCCAGATGTAGATGATGGCCCAGGCTGAGGCTCAGCTGGGGAAAGGTCTCCTTCCAAGCTGACATGATTCTTCTTAGGATTCACTTCCTTGCCCCAGTCAAGGTAATTCATTAGTGAGTTATTGGAATCACTTAAACAATTAATTTATAATAAATTCTTAAAAACAACAACAACAAAGTGGAGAAGGCATCGCATTTCATTTATACTATGAGTTAGTTTACCCTGATACCACAACTAGACAAACAGATTGCAAAAAATGAAAATTAAGAATAACACACCTTATGAATATAGACCCAAAAATCATCAAAGAAATCCTAGCAAAACAAATCAACAACATGTAAAAAGTATTATAAAATATGTCAAGGGTATTTACCTCAGGAAAGCAACATTTGGTACAATGTTCAAGGACAATTAATGCCATGCACTATATTAATATAATAAAAAACAAAACCATATAAGTATCTCAAAACATGCAGAAACACCTGAGAATTCCTGAACTCACTATGATAAAAACATGCAGCAAATAAGACAGATAAGGGAAGTCAAACTCTGTTTGCAAATGACATAATCTTATATATAAAAAAATCCAAAGGACTCTAATGAAATATATTTAAAACTTAAACATGAGTAACAAACTTGCAGTATATAGGGTCAACATATAAAATCATTTGAATTTCTATACATTAGTGATTAACAATCTAAAAACAAAACTCAGAAAACCGTTCCACTTAAGATGGCATCGAAAATAGGCATGTTTATCAAATTAAGTGTAAGATATGTACACAAAAACTACAGAAAACATATTGAACAAACTTAAATAGAAAATATTTTAATGTTCATTGCTTAGAAGGGTTAGTACTGTTAGGATGGCAATATTTTCCAAATAGATCTATAGATTTAATGCAACCTCTACCAAAATCCCAGGTGATATTTCCTTCCTCAAAATTAACAAGGTTATTCTAAAGTTCATATGCAATGCAATAGATCCAGAGTGGCCTAAATAATCTTGAGTAAGAGGAAAAAGGTTGGCATTGTAGACATCCACTTGCTGATTTCAAAACTTACTATTAATACAGGCCGGCACAGTGACCCACGTCTGTAATCTGAGCACTTTTGGAGGCTGAGGTGGGCAGAGCACTTGAGGTCAGGAGTTTGAGACCAGCCTGGCTAACATGATGAAACCCTGTCTGTACTAAAAATCCAAAAATTGGTCACGGTGGCTCATACTTGTAATTCCATGTACTTGGGAGGCTCACGCACGAGAAATGCTTGCACAAGAATTGCTTGAACACAGGAGGTGGAGGTTGCAGTGAGCCAAGATTGCACCACTGCCCTCCAGTCTGGGAGACAGAGCAAGACTCTGTCTCAAAAAGAAAGAAAGAAAAATTTACTATTAATACAAAAGAATACGAATCAAGATTTATGGTACTAGTATAAGGATTTACATATTGATCAACAGAATAGAATATAATGCTCAAAAATAAATCCTTACATTAATGATGGAATAACAAATGGCCAAATAAATTAGGTATAGAGTTTTTTTTATCAAATGTTTCTGGAAAATGTAGATATCCATAGGCAAGTCGGACTCCTGCCTCACACCACAAACATAATTGACTCAAAACAATCATACATCTAAATATAATAGCTAAATAGGCCCAAACCATACACAAAACACAGAAAAACATCTTTGCAATCTTAGGTTAAACAATGTTTTCTAAGATATGACACTGAAAACACAGGAAAAGAATAAATAATAGATGTACTGAACTTCATTACAATTAAAACATTTTGGGATTCAAAGAACACCATCAAAATTAGAAACCCAAGGAATGAGAGAAAATATATGTAAATTTTACAGGTAATAATGGTTTATTATTCAGAACATATGACAATATCTTACAAGTTGAAAATAAAAAGGCAAATATCCCAATCAAAAATGGAAAATTATTCACTTAGCCATTTTCCAAAAAATCTACAGTCATATCCAAAAATCACATGAAAAGACACTCAATGCCTTTTGCCATTCTGAGGTGGGAGAATGGTATCACTTGTTTTCTGTTAGCTATCCCACTGACCAAAACAAGATCTGTTTCTGTTGGGGTCCGCGTGTTTCCTAAACAAAGGAATGAACACACAAGACAACACAAGACAAGACAAACATGGCGGCCGCCTCGAATGGCGTGCTCTGCTTTATTTTATACAGTCGTTTGTGGAATGTTGCCAAGTCACAAGACACACTGTTGTTTCTCTGACCTTTCCCTGACTTTCTGGATTTTCAAGATGTTTACACATAAACAAGCCCACAGGTTCTGCTGTTAGCAGCTGGCTCCTTTGTCCTCCCTGTTTGCAGGGAAGGAACGCCCTGCTTCGTTTGCAAGAGCAGGAGTTACCGGAAATGCCCTGCTTCGTTTGCAAGAGCAGGAGTTATCGGGAACATCTCATTTGCGAGCACGTAGTCCTCTGCATGTTCCACACAGATAAAGTAAAGAAACCAACAGGAACCCGCAGATAGACAAAAGCGATCCTGGCCATCCTCATTAGCATAAGACACTCCATCAGCACCACGACTGTTTACACATTCCACAGCAACAACCTGCAAGTTACCAGCCATTTCAATGGCAATGACCCACAAGTTACTGCTCATTTCCTAGAAAGTTCTAAATAACCTACCTCTCAATTTGTATTGACCCAACCCTCAATTTTCATGTAACTGAAAGCAGATTTATGTTACTGTAAATACAGTTGTCAAGAGCCCATAGATTGCCAACTTGGATAGACTGCTTCAGAGTTAGCCCTGCTCTGCAAGGAGACGTACTATAAAATAAAAGATTGCTAACACCACTGGTCACCCTTAAATTCTTTACTTGGCAAAGCCAATAACCCTCCAAGCAAAGCCCCAATTTTGGGTCTCACCTATCCTGTAAAAATTAGGTTAAGTCAAATCCAAACAGCCACGGGATTATACTTCAAATTCTAAAAAAAGTATTGCTAAGTGAAAAAATGTAAGTCGGAAAAGGCAAAATACTGTGTAATTTCATTTATATGACTTTATAGAAAAGGCAAAAGTATAGGCAATAATAAAGAGTTTGGTGGTAACAAGGGGCTTAGAAGAGAAAAAGGTGGAATCAGTTAACTACCAAGATTTCTTCTGGGCAGTGAAATTACTCTGATACTGTAATGGTGGATACCTAATCATGTTTTCCAAATCCTGAAGAACTTTGTAACACAGAGTGTACCTAAGTTATGCAAATTAAAAACCTTATTTAGGAGGTAAAGGCTTTCCAGGGAGGAAAGCCCACAATATAACTATGTAATGAATGTATGGAATAACCTCACTAAAGAAAATGGAGGGGCCAGGCACGGTGGCTCAAGCCTGTAATCCCAGCACTTTGGGAGGCCGAGACGGGCAGATCACGAGGTCAGGAGATCGAGACCATCCTGGCTAACCCGGTGAAACCCCGTCCCTACTATAAAAACACAAAAAACTAGCCGGGCGAGGCAGCGGGCACCTGTAGTCCCAGCTACTCGGGAGGCTGAGGCAGGAGAATGGCGTGAACCCGGGAGACGGAGCTTGCAGTGAGTTGAGATCCGGCCACTGCACTCCGGCCTGGGCGACTGAGCAAGACTCCGTCTCAAAAAAAAAAAAAAAGAAAATGGAGGAAAGCAGCCGACCTAAGTAATTTAGGAAATAAGTGGTCATTGAGGCCAAAAGCCAAAGGATTTACACCTTACCAGTATACTTTAATTGGTAAAGTTGTTTCCCATGAGGGTATAATTCTGAAGCCACTGTATACATATGCTCAGGTGGTGTGATTAAGTGAACAGCACCAACTTGCTCACAGTGAGAGTGGCAGACTACATACAAATGAGAATGATCCATTCATATGGTGCTGGATTAGATCACATGGTATTGGAAACCTTCGTAGAAAATACACAATTAGCCTGGAGCACATTAAATACAGGTAGCCTAAAGCACCTAGTAGAGACTGAACAAAGAAAATGCTAACCAACAACAAAACCAACCAACCAACCACACAACGTCTAACCATAATCATGGGGGTATTTCAAAATGACACCAGAGACAACTAAAAAAACCTTCCAATCGCCAACACTGGAACAATTTGAGCAATAAAATAAATAAATTAGCATATACAAAGTGTAAAATAAATATCAATGTTTTGACATAAATAATTTATGTATAAATAAATATGAAATTAAAATATAATAGAAACCTGTTTATGGTGAAAGTTCAAACAAATTTGTACACACTCTGCCAATAAGGAAGTAGACCATGAATCCTCCACTTAAGTTCATATTCTGTATAGTGACTTTGTTCTGAAACATATTACATAGAAAAGAAAAAAAAGGCTAATTTCGTGGTGTGAAAATTCGATAAAAATGACTTAATCTACGTGATCACATTAATATCAACAGTGATAAGGCCTGCTGATAGTCTACGTCCTTGGTATGATGTGAGGAGAATGGCACCTCTCTCCTCTGTGACCTTCCTTTCCTAAAGCCACAAATCCAGTCTTACCCTAAAAGAAATATATATGAGAAATCCTAAATTAGGAATGTCAATGTCATCAAAGACAAAAAAATTCTGAGAAACGGTCGCAGACAGAGAAGTTGAAGGACATGTGAAATCTGTGATGAGGTATCCTAGATGAGATCCTAGAACAGAGACTGGACATTAAGTGAAAACTAAGAAAATCTGAATAAAGCATGAAAAGTAGTTAATGATAGTGTATTGTGATACATGTCCTACATTAATGTAAAGTTAATAAAAAGGGAAACTTTGTGAGATATATGGAAGGTCTATTTACCACATTTACAACTGTTCTGTAAACCTAAAACAATTCTTATATTTATGAGGTATCTTGTTCTTTAAAGTTACTGCTGACATTATAAAACAGAACAATATTTTTGATGGCCCTTAGTGCATCTCCTTAGCTTCATCATCCTTCCTTAATCACTGAAGGAAGCTATTACTGTGAATTATTTCTTATCCTCTAATTTGTGTATATTATTTACCTTTACGTTTATATTTCTATTATCTGTAATGTTTAGTTTTTCTTATCTTTGAACTTAGAAGAATGTGTTTCATGGATTCATGTCCCTGGCTTAATCATGAGAAACTATGAGACAAATCCATATTGTGTGACATCCTACAAAATATCTAACACTTTTTAAAAGGATCAAGATCAAGAAAAATAAGACCATGAAACTTGCAGAATGGAGAAGACCTGATGTGTCAGTTAGAGCCTAAGATGGTGCCCAATGACTCCCCATGTAAAAAATATCTGTGCTTGGTTGAATAGACTCCTCTGTGTCTCACTTGACTAACACACAAGAACTCAACTTTTTTTTCAATTCAGAGCTCTCCAAGGCAGTGGCTGCCTTGGTGGGAATGTAGTGGACACAGGTCTGACAAATGCCACAAGGGTGCCTGACAGTGTAAACAAACATTCTGTGAGAAGGTTGCCTGGGTCAAGGATTGTGCACTTAGGCGTTGGGTCATCTGCCAAAATAAATAACAATCCCATGGAAGGCACACTGTAAATATCCAGGACTCGAGTCCTGTTGGGCATGGCTATAATTTATAGCCACTGTCCCAAGAAAGACCTCAAGAGAATATGAGACATAACAAAAATACAGCAGATATGGAGAGGTAACTTTATCAATTATGGCTCAAAGATCCCATGGAGGACAGGTGCAGTGGCTCAGGCCTGTAATCTCAGCACTTCGGGAGGGAGGCTGGTGGATCATGAGGTCAGGTGTTCAAGACAAGCCAGGCCAAATGGTGAAACCCAGTCTCTATACTAAAAATACAAAAAATTAGCCTGGCGTGGTGGCAGGCACTTGTAGTCCCAGCTACTCGGGAGGCTGAGGCAGGAGAATGGCATGAACCTGGGAGGTGGAGCTTGCAGTGAGCCGAGATCGCACCACTGCACTCCATCCAGCCTGGGTGACAGAGCGAGACTCCATCTCAAAAAAAAAAAAAAAAAAAGGATAAACAAACAAATAATTTTAAAACATCCCAAGGAGAAGACAGACAGAAATAGTACTAAGTGTTACATAAAAGTATGAATCAGTAAAGGTACTTTGTGAGTTTTCTTTCTTTTCACTTTGATAATCTTTGCATTTAATTGATACACTATCTATTCACATGAATGTTGTAACCGATATTTAGATTTAAACCTCCTGATGTATTTGATTTCTATTTGTCCTATTTGTTCTATATTTTCTCTCCCTTTTTGCCTCATTATTCCACTATCGCCCTGTATTAGCTTTGTAGTTATATGATTTATTTTGTTTTGCTGTTCTTTTAGTGGTTACCCTATAGATGACAGAGCAGTCTAATATTACTTATAATCTTCTTTCTGATAATTGTAAGGACCTTAGAATTCCTGCACCAAACGTATATATTGTCACGTTTTAACATTATTTATTTAAAAAAAAAAAGTTTGCATCAGACTGCAGCTCTCTGAAGACACAAGAATCTGTATTTTGAGACTTTCCCTTAATCTTAGAAATACAAGCAGAGATTATTCTAAGCTGCTTTCCAAATCCAATTCTTCATCCAGTTCAGCTACTTATCTTTTTCTTCCTCCCCTTTCATCCTTTGTATCTCATGATCTCATGAATGATGGTCATGTGAATCTCACTGTAAGCAGGGACTGCAGATGCATGTGAACTGAGATTTTCATGAAATGCTTTTCTCTGACCACTTGTCACTCTTGTCAACTCCACATCTATGAAAAAGTCACATAACAACAAAGACATATAAGCCAATAGAATAGAGTACTCCAAAATCAATCTTCAGGGCAAACTTATTTATAAGGTTGAAAAATTAATTCAAGACGGAAAAATATTTTCTCAACAAATGTTACTGGGAGAAGGTGATACCCACATGCAAGTTAAACTCTTTCCTGCACCACATATGTATCTAACTCAAAATAGAGCATGTGTCTAAATGTAGGAGCTAAAACTAAACATCCCACAGACGAGAACACAGAAATACATTTTCATGGCCTTCGGTGAAACAATGGATTCTAACATGTGACACGAAAATACAAGTGAGAGAAAAAAAATAGATGCATTGAACTCCACGTGGATTAACATGTTTCGTGATGCAAAATACACCGCCAAGACAGCCCAAATAATGGAAGAACATATTTCCAAGTCATATAGTTGTTAGGAGACTACTGTCCAGA